CATGAAATAACCTAGGACTACAGCTTTTACTCACAATTCGTGCCTTCTTGCCATTCTTTTAGTTAACGCGTAGAAGTAGTTGAGATTATAAGAGCCGGCTACGAAGACAGTATTAAGCGTTTCCATAGTGTTATAACGGTCCGTTTTTCTTTTTACACGAATGGGACGTTAATTTACCTTAGATGAATGTCTACACCAGACTACCACCCAGTGTCTACTCTACAGGACTTCAACACAACTCAGATCACGAACACGTGATTAGCCTGACTACAACGTAAATTTATTCCCACACCAAAACCTACACAATCCAACGACAAATAGACAATCAATCAATAATTAATAAGGAGAGGGGAACATATAACTCATCTGACACCTGTCAGACTATCTACATGTCTGATTAAGGAGACAACCAATCATTATCATTCTTACTCACACATCGAAAAGCAAGGTACTCCTTACTGACGAGCGCTCGATAGTACGAAACATCATCAAAACAACTCCCTGAGTGTGTGGAGCGTTTTACTTTTCGTGACCCGTACCTAATCCTTTTTGTTCAGCTTGAGTTCAATAGGTTTCGCTGATTCCGAGAACCGTCAAGTTGTATGTCCTCATTTCCATGGCTATTTGACTGGTCTCCCCGGTCTCCAACATTTTCCGGACGTCCCATGTCTCTATGATAATTGTTGGTCTGGTTGTTAGAAGATGTATTCACCTCGTAACTCCGGAAGAATCTCGGCTTACATTATGAGGCATCATAATTCTTTCTTCAATTTGTAAGGCAGAATTTGAATGGTTTAAATTGTTTATTCTGGTTAACGTTGCTTAGCAAGGTTGTTTTATACAGGATGGGTGCGGTGACCCCATGCCCAACCTTTCTCCTTTACCCGTGCTTAAGAGCGGCAGTAATTCTAGAAGCTGCACAGGCTATGTGTCTATAATATGTCTAGACAATCTAAAATGCGATTGACTGGCGAGAGACCTTTTATACCACATATAATTTGTAAATAACTTTATCCTGATCTATAATTTTGTCAACGGAACTTCTAGTTACCCATATCTGATCCTTGATAAAACTATCAGAAGGTTGTCTAAAGTCACATTATTTAGCCTAACCGAATCGCAACAAAGAATACAAAAAAAGCAGAGACTAGCTCAACGAAGACATACTTGGTGTCGAATTACCAAGAGTTATTAGTCTATGAAAATGATGAATATAAACACATACTTGTCAGACTCCCTGGGTAGCATTCCGAAATAAGTTAATATATAATAAATCAAATGCAACTTAGTAATCATGTAACTGCCAAGGTATATGAGATCTTAAGGTACTACTATAAATTGACCATTAAAACAGAAAAAGTGAAGTGGGATCGGGGTCTGTAACGCACATTTAGACATAATGTATAAGTTTTACACAATGGTGCTTCGATGCAAGGATTAGATACTCTTTTTGAACTCAACGAAAGCTAGAAAATTAACGACCATCTTGACATACTTTCAGACTCCTCAATAGTGAAAATTGACTGGATTATAATTGTTGTTAGTTAATGACAATCAATTTGATCTACTACAGATTGAGTATCCAATTAGATGTCCCATATAAACCATTAAATACAAAACTCAATAATAACCTACACAAAAACTGCAATGGTTTAATAATAATATGCTATAAAATAATCGTCTGTAAATTTTGAAAAATCTGTCTTGTTGTGAGTTGTTTCCTTAGTAGTATAAATAATATGTTTTCGAATATTGGTAGGTGAAAGGGGTTTGCGTTTCTTCAGAGAATATCAGGATAAAAGAAATAGGAAGTAGGTCTAAAATTGGGCGATTTAATGAAAACTTGTTTGAATGTCGGATTATCAGATTTAAGTTTCAGCTAAAATAACACCCCTACAAGAGGTATTGTAGTAAAAGTTGACAGTACTATATGTATGTATCAGACCTCTTGTTGGTCAACGATTTCATCATGGATAAGCAAAGACTCTATTTGCTAAATGCTAACGGATCCGTTGAGCACTTTAAAGACCACACACGAAAGCTGATTGTACTACTCTATGAACAAATCTACATCCATAGTGAGACTTCCTTGGATGTTACTATAGTAAAAGTTATATACTCTAAAAAGTACGGGGTAACAGGCATTGTGTTATTACCAAACCCGATATGCTTTTTAGCATTTATTAGTAAGTTTCAGCCACCACATTAGTTACGTAAACCCAGTACCAGAATTGGACAGTGTCTCACTTGAAGCCACCTAAGACTCGAGAGATTTTTGCCTCAGTAAGATACTACCTAAGGGTAAATCTTCGGTTCACAATTTGCCGTTAGTCAATAAAAATAATTTGACATCCAGTCACGTTTTTTGTATAAGGTTTGGTGACACTACTCGATTGCTTAAACTGAAGTAAGTAGGCTCGAACCTGCAGCCTACTGGTTGAAAACAGTAAAAATATTATATTTGTAACATACTATTGGGCAGAAAAATTAAATTTCCTGACGTTTCGTGACTCAGTGTAAGCCACTTCCTCACAGACCAAATAACTAAACAAATTAACAAAAGTTTAGACTGTACAAAGCAAAAATATTTACTAAAATCAACCAATAAACACGTCTAACCCAGTCAATACCACGACACTCCGGTCAAAGTAGTTTAGATGAGACATGTTTGTTTGTGCTAATATGTGAAAAATTTAACATTTATAATGTGAAATGATAGACTTAGATATGTATGATAATGGTGTGAATTGAATACAATCAAACAAACAAGCACATATATGCATCGGTCCAAGTTGTCACATCTCATTAGCACAACAAGATGAACACCAAATTCATAGAAATAGTTACTTCGATGGTAGTAATATATAAAAGAAAAATTGCATCTAAGGACATGGTACAGGAAGAAAGAATTAGTTCGTAGAAAGAAAGGTATATTGTAAATTTAATCTTACCGTTTAAGGGAAGGTAAAGAGTGTATACACCTATGCCATTGCGATCAATTCTGAGTCATGTCACACTCTCCAACCATTGGTTACGATAGTCACGTGGACCCCAATCAGGTAGTCTGTATCTGCCAACATGGCTCAGACTAGAAGTTAATGACTTCAAGTACTGATGCCACGTTTTGGTTTGGCCGCCCTAACCTTCTTCCAACCATCCCCAACATTAGTCAGCATTGCGCGTCGTGGTAATCGGTGTTCAGGCATACATAACACGTGGCCCAACCATCTCAGTCAATATAGATTCACAATCTCATCAACTGATTTATCATCATTCCCTAATACCCTACGTCTAACCTCATTATTACTTACCCGGTGATCCTAGCAGATGAGAGAAATATTTCTAAGAAATCTGTGATCAAACATTAGTAGCTTACAAGTATTTTCTACTCTTAATGGCCGCGTTGGACAGCCGCAAAGTAGGAGTGAACGAACTGTCGTGCAGTATACTCGTTCCTTAACTAATGGACGGATATCTCGCCTTCGTCATAGGTGACGTGAGTTTTCAAAAGTCAAACGAGCCTCCTGAATCCGTGCACAGACTTCGTCAGGCACTAACCCATTATGGCTGATGAGACTTCCAAGATAAGTGAAGTTTTCAACGCGTTCGACAACTTTACTCCCTATTCTTAGTTCAGGTGTTGATGCTGGTCAGTCCTGGAGCAACAACTCCAAAGAATCTAAAATCAAAACAGAATTAAAGCAAACCACGAGACATCTGATAAATTTTGAAATGCTTTAGTTCGTTTAATGAATAGGATCCTGTTTATATGAAAACAGGATTGTTTCTACAGATTAGGGTGTGCCGATTGTAATGTCATCTTAGTAATGAAAGTTGAGTCATTCATCCACTTCGTCTAGTGCATCACAATGGTTTATTGATTATATTCAACTTTGTTTGTTAAAAAAACTTCGACGATGCATAAGACTTAAAACAATGAAAATGATTAGTATTATGTAACTACCGTAATTCTATTTCCGTTAAAAGTGAGTTGTAATCAACATGGAGCCTAGGACAAATGTGCTTTAGGTCAGTATCTTATACTGCAACGTTAGCACAGCAAGATGAATAGGAAAAGAGTCGAAACAATTGTATGCTAGTCAAGTTAAGTTAAACAACTACCACTTAAGACTGTTTACGGACTGGTTATTTTTGTTAATCTACTAATCACAAAACTGTACTTCTTCTACAAACATGACTATCTTCCCATTGATTCGTTTGTTATACCCTTTAATTACTGTTTAGTGTGTATAATTCCATCGCTACCCTTTTTTCAATAGACTGCATCGATATATGTTCTTGAAATAATTGTGCTAATTTACATTTTAGAAACAAATTGGAGTTTCAACGACATAGTTTACCTGTTATGACTCTAGTTGAGTCACCACTACTTGCTCGACAGTTAAGGAACCTATTCAGAGAATCTTTCTGTAGGATAACCAAATCCTACATTGTAGTAACTATGATAATGAGAAAAACTAAGCGTCCAGAATATGGTTCAAAAAGATAGGTTGAAAAACTATTTATGTATGTGTATGAAGAAATACCTAGCAACCGATGGTTAGAGACCTTGAATGACATGGCTCAAAATCGTTTGCGATGGCGAAGGTGCATCCACTCTTTGTGTTCTACCAAATTCTAACCTTTTGAATTCTTCATGTCCCTATCCTTTTCCTCTTTCCAAATTTATTTCACTGGATTATACTCCTTCAATAACATCTCCAAACCCTAAGCTTTCACATAATGCTTATACTCTTACTACTTCTACCACTACGGGATTTGAATCGACAACTTCATCTCTGTGCTAATTTGGTATGGCAACTTGAACTGATGTACGTACGTATGTACGAAGTTCTACGTTGTGACTGACTGACTGATGAAGAAATACCAGAACATACGATACAGGGCATGATAAATGAAATTAATCTGAAACAATCATCCTAAAAATAAGTAATTATGCAATCATATTACATGAAGTATAAAAGAAAAATAACTTTTTTATAACAACAGATCATATTTCTAGGAATATACATATGTACAAGATTAAAATATATATATATATATTAAAAGAAGAAAAACAAAAATGCACGATACAGTTTAATTACATTGAATATATATTTATAGTTTGACAAGCTAAAAATTATGATACCGTTTGTTCATTTCCTCCACCTCCTCGACCAAGCATACCTAAAAGGAAGTAAACAAATATGAATATAAGACAACCATTCGATTGCATTTTCCCCAGCTATTACTTACAAACTGAGTAATTAAAATGACTACTTACTGATGAAATAAAGTAGTTCTTTTCAATCCACTTGGTAAGTATACAAATTTATGTAAATGGTGGAGTTATACTTTAATTGTACAAGGGTCAATGATACTAGCCAACTACCACTTAAACCAAAGCAAATGGAGTGGGATTCGAATTTGAGAACTAGCGGTTGCAAGTCGAAAGCCTTAACTATTTTAAAAAACTTAATTAATTTACGAGTAAATTTGTTTAAGAATAATAATATCACTTGACGATCTTATGTAAGCTCGTGAGAGTTAGGTGGAAGTTTCAACTATCTATATAAGGATTCTTGATAACACGATGTTAGGCTGGATGAGTGGGTCTAGACAGATTACTTTAGTCAGTCAGTTGCAACGTAGGATCAGGCACATATATGCGTCGGTGCAAGTTGTCACATCTCACTAACACAGCAAGATGAAAACCAAACTCACAGTAGTTATTGATGATACATCAGTCAATATTTAGATACTGATAGACAACAGTGAAACCAACACTTGCCCAGTTACCGGAAATCTACTCATTTCTTTAGATACAAGCGACCCGTTCTACATGAAGTAATACCAACAGTTAATGCAGAAGACTGTAACACTTGGAAAATGTGAAAGTTTTGAAATCCAATCCACTGTCTTTGCCGGCTGAATCTATTTTATTGTCAGTATGAAATCAAGTTTAAAGTATCAACTGACCAGGACGAAATTTTTGATATGTATCATTGATTTTATGAGGAAATTTTTTACCAAGACAAACAGTGAGATAAGTGCATTATCATGAGACTGGAATTTATTAGCGATTCCTTTGAAAAGTTGAAGAATTTAGGAAATTTCCTAACTTAAAACACATACCGTGATCTTTTAACATAATAAATTATCCTACTGTGAATAGATAGCATCATGTACCTTACTTAAAATTATGGATATTGAGTTGGGATATATGGTGTCATATTAAATTATACACCCTATAAGTAATCTTCCTATTTATTATTTATTTAAACACATAAATATTGGTACAAGGAAGCACCAGATATATATGCGCCTCACAAATCTCATTCGATTTGTGTGAGGGTTGTGATACTGCCCAGGTGCCCAAACTGAAGCAAGTGGTTTTCTTAGGGGGCCACACCCCGAGCCTTTGACCTGAAGGTCTAGTCCACAAGGCAGTGGAGCATCGTGAGGAGATGCAGTCCCATGGTAGCCGTTGACCAATGACAGGTTCTTCCGCCATTCGTTCCACCAGGATACTGGAGCCCATGTGCACCATTGGTTTGGAATCAGGGTTTTCCAACTCCCCTAGGTGGACTCGCATTGTCTACCAACCCAGTTAAAGCGCCGGACATTCGATTTTCGTCCTTTCAATTTCGAAAACAACACCCCCGCCACGAGAAGGCAGTGAGTAGGACTTCTCTGGCAGAGGCTATATATTCGCTGGCAATGTGAGAGCATTTCGAGAGGGAGAGCAGACTCTCCCCACTCTCGGCCGTACCAGGGCATTTGGGGGCAATCTTCCTATACAATCTGGATACTCATAATGAAGAGAAAAGTTTACTATATCCATAATTAAAAAATATTGAAACAAGTAATAAGTACCTTTGTAATTTATAAAACTAGAGACAAAAATAATATGAAAGAAAGTTATGTTTTTCTTTCGCCTTTATATATTTTACTCAAATGTATACGTATACACAACCATAGATTAAGTAGTATATATTTTAATAATCCAGCACATATTCGAATATATATGTCCAATTATATTAATTATCAGAAGGGGTTTTGTGAAGATTTAGTATGTTTCATAGTTGAAAGCATGAGTCAATTGAAGATAGACCACCATGGAAAACCTGAAAACACTGGACGGCCGTTTCGTCCTATTATGAGACTCCTCAGCGGTGCGCATCCACGAACGTCCTGGGTTCGAATCTCGCGAGCGCGGGTTCGTGGATGTGCACTGCTGAGGAGTCCCATAATAGAACGAAACTGCCGTCCAATGTTTCCATGGTGGTCTAGCTTCAATTGACTCATGCTTTCAACTATGTTCAATTCATTTAAATAATAAATTAGTCCCAACAAATTCAACCTATTATACAATAATAAAAGACTGAACTAACCAACTTATGATACTTTGTATGACTTTAAATGACCTACTCACACTACAACTACGTAATTCATGAAATATGTTATAAAGGAACTATTTGACATTTGAGAAGAAACGTGCCTATCAAGTAATCTACATTAGCCATTTAAAAAACCCTGATTTATACTTTGTCTAAGGTATTATTAATAAGCTACACTATGGATTTGGCTTGGAAGACAATAAAAATTAAGAGTCTTAGATTATTTTCAAGTGAAATTTTTTGTGTTCATCCAGTTATTGATCAGTCTACTGGTTAACAGAATCATGAAAATTACCTCATCAAGTGTAACGGATCAATAGGTTTGGTTGACTAGATCTATCTGAATATTTTCTCGCGAATACCTTTCAATTTTCCTGGGTCTATAACGAAAGGTGAATTTAATCAAACTGCTATTTGTATATGTGATCAAAAAATAGGGTATTCACTAATAATATTATTCACTAAACCTATTTCAATTTTTGTATCTCTCCCTTATAAGTGTGTGTTCTGAATTCGTTCAGATTGAAATGTGTAAATATGAACTTATATTTCAGATCCATTCATGATTTTCCATTGTGAATTTATGAACTATGTTAGTTGACAAATAACGATATGCAAGGAGAATTTACATCAATTTTCAATAACCAATAATATTTTCGTCAATGTAAATATTCGGTATCAGTGCCTGAAGATAGTAAAAACTGGCAACGATGACTGGGTGCAACATGCCAGCATAGTAAATCGCGAATGTGAGCGCTTTTCTCAATGACAGAAGATCCATTCTGTCTTGTTTTTGTATGCAGCTTACAGTCTCCAGAAGATACCGACATCAGAACATCAGAACTGAACAGTGTCCAAATATCACTGAATGTCAGCGTCTGGTGAACTTGAAACATGACACCTCAATGGTAAGAAAGATTCTTATATGCAGAAGCAAAACACAACCAATAAGAAGCCTCCATCCGCATGTTGGTTTTGCGGAGAGTTGCATTACAAAAGGTTCTGCCCATACAGAAACTACCGGTGCACTAAATGCCAGCTCAAATAACATAAAGAAACATGTTGTAAGAAGATGCGCCGTCGCGCACCACGTGTTCATTACCGGAGACGCAAACAATAATCATTAACAAATAGAATAGTGGTGGAACATACTAGAACAGAAACCTGAGAAATATGGTCCTCCAGAACCATAGTCAAGTGTTCACAGAAGAACTGGGGAATGCAGGAGGGTGAAACATTACTAATCGTAAAGCTGGGAGCCAGACCAGTGTTCAGACCTAAACGTCCTGTAACCTACTCAGCTCTACCAATTGTTGAGCAAGAATTAAAGCGACTACAAAGAAGCGGAACCATGGAACCAGTAATTTTTTCTGATTGGGTAGAACCAATAGTGATCTTTAAGAAACCTAACGGAAGTATCCGGCTATGTGCAGATTATTCGACAGGACTAAACGATGCACTTGAGGCACATCAGTCTCCATTACCAGTGTCGGAAGACTTATTTGCGAAACTGAATGGGGGACAGTATTTTGCAAAATTGGATTTATCAGAAGCTTATTTACAGATTCCAGTTGCTGAAGAGCGCAAACATTATTTAACGATAAACGCGCATAAAGGTTTGTTTCGATATAACAAACTTCCCTTTGGAGTAAAGACAGGACCTTCAACCTTCTAACAAGTTATGGACACTATGTTATAGGAGATTCCTGGTACTGCTGCTTATTTGGATGATATACTTATTATGGGTACAGATTACGCGGACTTAGATAAAAAGCTGGATATGGTCCTGAAACGGATAGCAGATTATGGGTTCAGATTGCGTGCTGAAAAATGCAATTTCTACATGAAGCAGGTACATTATTTGGGTTTTATAATTGACAAGAACGGAAGGAAACCTGACCCAGACAACGTTAACGCGATTAAGACAACGCCTTCACCAACTGATGTAACAACCCTGCGTTCCTTCCTGGGAACGATCAGTCATTGTGGTGTTTTTCTGCCGGATCTGCATTGTTGGCGGGCACCGTTGAATAATTTACGAAAGAAGGATACCAAATGGGTTTGATCAATAAAATGTCAGGATACATTTTCAAAATTGAAAAAGGTGCTCTTATCAAACCTACTGCTTGCACACTATGATCCAGCACTCCTTATTGTACATGCAGCAGACGCATAAAACTATAGAATAGGAGCTGTGATCTCACACATCTACCCTGATCTGTCTGAGAAAGCCATTACCCACGCGACCAGATCACTGACAATGACAGAAAGGAATTACAGTCAGATAGAGAAAGATGCACTAGCCATTATCTTTGCGGTTAGAAAGTTCCACAAGATGCTGTTTGGCAGGCAGTTTACGTTATTACCAGACCACAAACCGTTACTGACAGTCTTTGGGTCCAAGAAATGTATTCCTGTCTATACAGCAACCACTTACAGAGATGGGCAACAACACTTCTGGGGTATGATTTCAAGATTAAGTACCACCCTACGACGGATTTTGGACAAGCTGATGTCCTCTCAAGGTTGATTGAATCCCATGCAAAACAAGAAGACGTATTTGTTGCCGCCGTAAAAGCTGAAGTTGATGCTGTGTTAGCAGACACGATCGCTGACCTGCCGTTTACATTTTAAAATATTAAAGAAGCAAGCAAGGAAGATAATACCTCGAAGACTAACCGCCGTTTTCTATTCAATAAGTGGCCCTCAGGATGACTCCAAGGAGCGATTTTACAATACTTCCGTCGACGAGAATCTATCACAATTATCAATACCTGTATCATGTTTGGCTACTGCATTGTTATCTACAGCACTCTCCGACGATGAGTACTCAAACAGTCCCATACCGGGCACTCTGGAATGAGCAAAATGAAATCACTAGCACGAAGTTATGCGTACTGGCCTTCGATGGACCAAGATATAGAACTATTGTGCCACAGCAGCGAATCATGCCTAGAAGTGGCAAAGAACCCAGCGAAGGTAAAACCACAGCGATGGCCGAAACTAGATGGGCCCTGACAAAGAATACACGCTGATTTCGCCGGCCCAATACAAGGCAGGAACTTTCTAGTTATTGTGGACGCCAACACAAAGTGGCCGGAAGTATACGAAATGAAAAATACAACGTCAGAGAACACAATTTTCAAATTATCAAGTCTATTCTCTTGTTTCGGTGTCCCAGAAATGGCACCCAATTTCTGTCGTCAACTTCTCGAACGTTACTGCAGTGAAAATGGTATACGACACCTTCAGTCTTCTCCATGCTATCCCCAATCAAACAGATAAGCTGAGAGGTTTGTGGATACGATTAAAAGAGCTTTTGTTAAGGGGGAAAGAGAGGATAACCCAGTACAGGTGGTAAGGAGATTCCTAATGACCTACAGAGTCACGCCTAACCCGGTGGTGCCAGAAGGAATTCACCAGCAGAATGTATGTTTGGGAGGGAAATCCGGACAATATTCGACAGAATATTGCCACCCAAGAAAACCTGTACAAGAGTATCAAACGGGCACCCGCAGCTTGAAGGTAGGTGAGAAAGTGTTTATAAAGTGGTGTCAAGGTGGTCGAAAATGGGAACGAGGGGTCATAGAACGGCGTATTAGGAAGGTACTTGATTTAGTCCAGAGAAGTGACGGAACGTGTATCAGACATATTAATCAGATTAGAAAAGATCACAGGACAGAGACAGTAGATGCACGACTACCGTTCCACATGTCGGTGGATTCAGCGCAGAAAAGCCCGAAAGAAGGCCACAACCAACGGTTTGAAAGACGTAAAAGTGCAATCACACAGCCGATAAGAGTGCTCGTTAGTAAACTTAAGGAAGCCTCAAGAAGCCCAGAAAGAGCCGAAGACATTCCATCCAATCACCGCTAGAGGAACATTCTAGAACGTCGACGTGCATCTTCCCTATTGGATGAATAACAAGGGTCCCCTACGTGCCTATTGGCTGTCCGAAATTATGATTTACTTTCAGCCAATAACTATGAATACATGAGATTTTTGTACTATATTTGATACTGTGTTAGGAATAACATTCCTACCTAATAGTCTTCTGTCTTCTCTCTTGCGACGTTGCGGGTCGATCGTACAGGTAGTCTAGTAGTGAGCGGCATAGAAAGAATCTAAGCTCTAGATACAACAATTTCATTGAAACAACTGGTTAAGAATCATTTCCCGTTATATGACAACTCAGTGAAGTTACGGTTGAACTAGACATCCGGTTATTTAAATCTAAGTCCTGACTGAAATTCATCGACCATAATTTGTTAATTTTATACGATACTAAATAAAGTGAAACTACCATGAAATTTATTTCGATATCTGTAAACACACTCGTCCGAAAATGTTATTCTTATGTAAAAATCCTCAACCCCTTCTTCAGGTTAGATAGGATTTGTGTGATGCTGATAGATGACTACTGTAATACGACAATGCACCTGCACATTCATAAGTGGTTGTTCATGAGTTTCTGCCCAATAATTGATTCAATTAACCATGTTAGATAACCCTTACTACTATATGGACTGAGTTCCATGTGATTTCTTTTGATCCACGAAATTGAAAATAGTCATGTGAGAGCCACGATGGGATGATACGGACAATAAGATTTGAAAGACAAAGTAACAGAAATGTATAGCTTTTAAGTAGTTCCAGAGATATTTCCAACAATTCCAACGAATATGAGATAAGTATACTGTCACAAATGGGGAGTATTCTTAATGGTGTACGATCAGTATAACGCAAACTTTTGTGACCTTAGTTCGGTTTTTTACTAGGTATACTATGTAAATTAAAGAACAGTTACATTACTTATACACTAATTCCAATTCATATGAACGATGTTTAGTTACCGTTAACTAAAGTTTGTGGAAAATGAAAATTCTAATTCAGAACATGTTTTCAAATGAGTCCGGCTGAAATATATAACTGTTGAATTTCTTTTATTCGCGATTCAAATCGGTAGTAAAAAGGGAGTATGAGAGTCAGCTCACGAGACTAAGTAGGTCTAATGAATAGTAAACTGAGACAATACATAAAGGAACGGAAACAATAGCCTGACTACCTGATAATATAATTGATGTTAAACATTTAATAATGAGAATACCAGTAACGATTTGGAACGAAATCATGAAAAATAATCTATTCCATACATTTTGTAATGTGAAAAATAAAATCAGTGATACCTCGAAAATCGATAGGAATAGTTCCAGTACGTTCCATTTCTAAAATATGCTGATGAATTTCACGTAAACGTTTCTCATAATCCATATTTGTCCATACAGATACCAAAAGAACAGCTCTTCCAGCTATATGAGTGACCACTGTCATTAAATCACCTTTTGAAGATAATCGGAATTGATATCGTCGACCATCAATCAAAATTTCTTCGAAATGATAAATATTATAATGATCTAGATTGATATACTGGAACTTGTCTGAAAAGACTTCTTGGAGAGTATCAGATTTAGCTTCAGGTAACTCAACTGACATGATCAGTCTTAAACAAAAATTTACACAAAAGTTTGCAATTTTTAAAGGGATTCACTATTCACTAGTAGCAAAAGCAACTACCATACGACAGTAATAATTTAATAAATTGGATGAACTGAGCTATTTTAGAGTGTCACGACAGCGTTATCGATTTCTCAAACACCTAGTCAACTTTTTTGAAGAGTTGAAATAATAAGTTATTATTCGATCTAGAGGCTTTCAATTTGGTCAAATTAGTTGCTCTTAACTTTCCATGGAGTTCACAAAATTTGTAAAAATTTTAAATAAGCAAGCACAGTGATACGTTTGTGTACTGTGCTAATAATTCGCGACTCTAACTCCAATACTGTGAAAAAAATTACTTCAATCCTTTTTGTTCTCTTCCCTCACTAAGTAAAGACACAAGTTCTACAGATGAAGCTTTCGATCTTGAACCAGTATATATCAAGAAAAAATGAATAGAATATTTGAAGAGAGTATTCGTCATTAGCACAAATCATTGTAAAGGTATTGAAATTTCATATATGGTGTTCACACTGGACACTATTCCAATCTATTTGATTTACTTCTCATAGGTTGTGACTTGAAATTGTACATCACCAACACATATACGACATAAGACCATTTTAATTTGGGACTTCAAATCAGCCGGAAACAACTGTTATTGTTCATAAGTCTTAAAACTATGAACTGAATGAAATCTATATAGGTATTGTTCTTCAATGAACACCCCACCGAAGTCACTACATTGACGTTGTAGTGAGGCTTGCTTATCATAGTGACCCGATCGAGCTATATTGTGTGGAACGGTTATTCTTTTAGGTCCTACCACGTCAAGCAGGTTGGTTGAGGAACAGTAAATCTACAAGCAGCAAAGTTATGGTTCGAAGAGGTCGTACCGATGACTGCGCGGAGGTGCGATGACAGTAAGTTGTTTCCTCAAGACAGTCAGCGATTAGAGTAACGCTGCCCCTGTTGGGGCGATCCTGAAAATTTCTCGCAATAGACAAGAAAAACCCAGGAAACATTAAGAAGCATTTTATCCAATCAGTGTTTGATTAGAAACATCACAAAAATGAAAAGTCACATGTAGAGATTCTGATTGACTGATTACTACACTGCTGCCATGTTTAGTAGCATTCCAGAATGTCCAGGAAAACCCAAGGACTTCTAAAATACCATAAAAACCCTATGTCATCTGTACATAAATGAATCTTTGGATTAAAGTGCTTCTCGCCTATTTTGAGCTTTTTCATTTGGGTTCAAGTTGCTGTTTAGATTTAGCTTGGAGGTTTCGAGAATAGCGTTCGTACTGGGATACGTATTTAGACTCTGATCGCTTTTTAATACAAGCACGCATTTGTTTGCGTCTCACTGGACGCAAAAAAACCACACTGACAAGGCTCATTAGAACTCAGTAACGAGAAAGCCAAAAGTAGATTCCAGAAAAAACTAAAGTCACACTTAGGTAGTTCTGAAAACGAGGATGACCCAGATGTTGCTTGGAAAGATATACAAACAGCTGTGGAAACATAAGCGACATCTACTAGTAGTTTAAACTAAATGGTTACAAAACACCAATGGATTTTCACTAAGCCTATTGCACTTATAGTCTATCGCGAACTCATCCCATCAGGCTTTGAACACGATGAAGAGCGAAAACAAATCAGATATAGGTTAACCAAAAGTCTAAGGAACGACTGTGAGCAGTGATGGGCAACGAAAAAAGACTGAAAAGTAAGTGGTTGTACGTAACACCAAACAGCTCTTCAGACTAATAAAAGAAGCTGGAATTAAGAAGTCAAATGTAAGCAAAACAATCTCGGGAAAAGACGAAACCCTTATCTGCTTTCAGCCCAGATGTTTAGAACGATGGACGGAACACCTTAAGGAGCAGTTCAACTGGACTCCAGATACTCTACAACTACCCATCATTCCCAAACAGTCTGGATAGAACATTGAAGTAGGCCTCCCGAATCTGATTGAAGTTCAGAGAGCTATAGCTAATTCGAAATGAGGAATTGCAGCTGGTCAAGATGGATTGAGTCCAGAAGTCTTTAGGTACGGTGGTCCAGTTTTAGCGACTAGGTTGACTAATATTTTAGTTGAAATCTGGGAGTCAAACTTAATCCCATCTAACTGGTCACAACTGATTGTCCCAATATAAAAGGAGTCAAAATCATTCTGTGATAAACATAGAGGGATTAGTTTGACTGATATAGAATCTAAAATACTAACCTCAATAATCATAGGACGCTTAACAAACACGAGAAAATCAGGCTGGCTTCAGTCAGTCAGCTACAACGTAAAATCAAGCACATATATGCATCGGTCTAAGTTGCCATACCTCATTAACGCAACAAGATGAACACCAAATTCATAGAGGCAGTTAATTTGATGGTGACAATATATAAAAGAAAGATTGTATGTAAGGATATGGTACAGAAAGAAAGAAAGCTATGAAACAATTTTAATCTTATAGTTTAAGGGCAGATAAAGGGTGTATACACCATTCAAATAAATACTTCTATGAATTTGGTATTCATCTTGTTGTGCTAATGAGATGTGACAACTTGGACCGATGCATATATGTGCTTGGTTTTACGTTGCAACTGACTGATTGAAACGCTATCTGGTTACAATGAATCAAACCAAGTACTTTAATAGACAATCTGCATCAGTAAATACTTCTTGCGATTTAGCTGACTTATTGTGCCGCATTCACTACCATGTCGCGTCATAGCATTTTAGAAACCAAATATAGTTAATTTTCACCTGGTTAATAATAACATACAATCTAATTAAAGCTACATTCCTAATCATGCGCAGAAATATAGGCGGTGCCTTAATTTGATTGATTAGCTAGATGAATACGTTTACTCTACGTTAGCGTGGAGAACAGTATGGAAGTTTGAAGACAGAAACCCCGAAGAGCAACAGAAGATAATGATTCAAGACAAATTCATTAGTTGACTGATTACGTACAACGCGGTCTTCATACCAAAAACCTGTATTTTGGTTGATAATTTGTAATCTAACTCTCTAAAATGAGTTTTCCAGGCCTGATATTTTTCAAAAATACCAACAGACGGCTATTGAAACGTTAAATACCTGGAACCATACCGTAACAATTAACTGAAAGAGTAAAGGATTCATTAACAAGATAATTTTTTGGACAAAATTCAGACACCAGACATTGGATCCGAAACTTTTGAGCAGAATTTATTTATCCGTGTGCTTAATCAACATTTAGACATCATAGGTAATCTTAGTTAGTGATGAAAACCAGAACTGTAACTCGTAAAACCTAGTTATAAATCGAACTACTATTCCCACCTCCTCAAACTAATTTGTAACCCGATTTCGGCCCTAGTAATTTGTCGAAGTTTGATAAGTAGGCTTCAATAATGTGCGAAGGTCTCCATAATTGTAGTATCGCAGGAATCATCTGGCTTTAATTAATTCTTCGGAAAGATATTTAATACTCATGTTGGCTTTCTGTCTTGTGTACCTTGAAGAATATTTACCAATGAGCCATAAGAGAGTGTTAAGACTCATTTAGTCGGGATAAATAGACCAGACGTCATGGTACGAGAAAATATAGTAAAAACCATCAGAAAAAGTCACTAACCCGCCAAATATCTTGAATTGATATCTTACCAACAACTCGTCGGCACTGTTTCAAACAAATCGATTTTTCTTCTCATTGTTAACAAAATGACGAGCATTTTGAAGTATCTGAGATAGTACAGATCCCAATGATGGTTTTTCAAGGCTAACGTTTGTTCTCACGAATTGATCGAAAAATCAAAAACAGTAATATTCACATACACTGCTATATCGATGTGGTGTCAAGCTTCTCAGTCAAACCTGCAAAGTGTAATATGAATATAAAGTGGACATCCCAAGTGCTTAACAATGATGTGAAATGACAGGACCATTTATACATCCGGATTGTGGGTAGTAGTGTAACGTCGTGTACTATATTACACCTACATAGCTTATTCTAGTTTCTGGACAAGCCAATTCACCTATAACGTTATGAGTCATGTTTTGATCTTGTTAATTATTCGCTTATTGACCTTGACTATTTTTTTATATGAGCGTATGTGTATGCACACTTCTTATCCTACCTATCACATGTCTGTCATTCATTTTAGTCTGACTATAAATGTTGATTAATGCTTGCTTATAACGAGTTGGCTTCCCAGCCATCTCCACTCTGCGTCATCTTTCCTTCGCTTGCTTACATTTGCTAATGTGCTCACTGCCTTCTAGCCCATGTTATTTATCAATAAAAATGTAGTTGCTGCTTCCCTTTGTCTTCTGATATTATACACCGTTCAGATTGTTATAATAACGGTTATCAAGACGATCGATTAACGAAGCACTACACTACAGGATAGTCAAATGATTTGATTGAGACACCATCTCATTCACGTGACACTATATAAACCGTACTATCATTAATCCTCCTAGTAATTCACACAAAGCCTAATAAGAAACTTGTTTCTCAGATTATTTCGCCCGCTTATTGTAATTATTTTGTCAGTTTTCAGGTTATTGTTACCTTTATTGTTATTTATTCTAACTAATCTTGTATTCGTTTATATGGTTATATTGTCGTAAACGTAAGCTAAATACTTTCTTTTAATATCTCGAGGTAGTTCTAGCCTTGTTTTATGTTTACCTGTTTCTGATAGTCAGGCAAAATCGGAACATAAAATGACTTCTTTATGTTACGAACCATAATTTTATTTCGGTCATTTAATGCACTCAGATTTAGATAACAAAACTTCAAAAGTCTTTATCGAAAACTTTATTTTCGGGTAAATTATTTCAACCAGACCGTCTAGCGAATAAAAAGCGAAACGATTAAGTAATCACTGTTGATAATGTTACCGCCTATAAAACATGGAAAACTTACGAAACTGGTTACTTTGAATTATTGTTCTACGCTGTTTCAAGATTTTTTGAAGTTCTTCAGTTGTACCATGGCGGTATGAATGAAGGACGGTATGAATCCATGGTAAACCACTGACAAAGTCAAAGCATCTATCAATAAATCCTACAGATAGATGTCTAAAGGCTGAAGCGTCATGATTCTATATGTTCATGACCACTGTTGTAATGCTTTTTTTCATTACAACAGTTTTGTTTTCAATTGTAGATAACCTGTTCATGCAGAATATTTAGCCGATGATATTAGAGGAGAAATTTGACTCAGATATGTTGACGATACTTTTGCTTTCAGTCAGTCAGTCAACTACAACGTAAAACCAAACACATATATGCATCGGTCCAAGTTGTCACATCTCTTTAGCACAACAAGATGAACACCAAATTCATGGAAATAGTTACTTCGATGGTAATAATATATAAAAGGAAAATTGCATCTAACGATATGGTACAGGAAGAAACAATTCGTTTGCAGAAAGAAAGGTATATTGTAAATTTAATCTTACCGTTTAAGGGAAGGTAAAGAGTGTATACACCTATGCCATTGCGATCAATTCTGAGTCATGTCACACTCTCCAAACATTGGTTACGATAGTCTCACGGACTCCAACCAAGTAGTCTGCATCTACCGACATGGCTCAGACCAGCAGTTATTAACTTCAAACACTGATGCCATCTGTGATCAAATATTAGTAGCTTACAAGTATTTTCTACTCTTAATGACCACGTTGGGCAGTCACAAAATAGGAGTGAACGAACTGTCGTGCAGTATACTCGTTCCTTAACTAATGGACGAATATCTCGCATTCTTCATAGGTGGCGTGAGTTTTCAAAAGTCAAACGAGCTTCCTGAATCCGTGCACAGACTTCGTCAGGCACTAACCCATTATGGCTGATGAGACTTCCAAGATAAGTGAAGTTTTCAACGCGTTCGACAACTTTACTCCCTATTCTTAGTTCAGGCGTTGACGCAGGTCAGTCAAAGGGCAACAAATTGCATTTAGATGGGTAGAAACACATCCCAAACATCCTGGCATTGTTGCTCAGTGCTACAAAAATACTGCATTTTATCAGGGTCTTCACCAAACAAGACTATATCATCTGCGTCTTCCAAGTCGATAAGTGAACCTCCTGGCAGGAGATCAGTCGACGAGAGCTTTGTTTCAGTAGTAGATCTATGATGAAGTTGAACAAAAATGGAGATATTTGACAGCCTTACCGGACACAATTTGAGATTGTAAAATCAGATGACAGTTCGCCATAAGCTCTGAATTGACTAGTAGTGGTCAAATCCTGCTCTTATGTCAAGAAAAACTATCGTTGCCGGACGCCATTAAGCATGTCTGTGTTCTAGAACCTGATGGATGTTGAATATGTGGACTATGCAGCCACGAACAAGTCTGAAGCCAGCCTCATTTTGTCGTGTTTGCTGTTCACGAGTGTTTGTAAGGCGCCCTATAATTATTGAGGTTAGTATTTTATATTATATGTCAGTCAAACCAGTCCGTCTATGGTTATCACTGGATGATTTTGACCCCTTCTAGAATACGATGTCCAACTGAACATGTGACTGTCCTATACACTACTTCAATACTATTGGCTAGCTTGTGCACAGTTGTTTGCATGATTCCAATACCCTGAATGTGAATGCTTTCAGTATCCCTTCGCTTATTTGCTTATCTATTTATGAGTCATATTCCACTGCCATATTGATGAATAAATACTTAGGACACTAAAAAATAATATTTTGGACAGTTTGTATTCATTTCAACATTGCAAACTAGACCAGTTTTATGCAGTCTTAGATTTATTTCACTACAAAATAGTAGCTGGATATTCTATTCCTGATGTTATTTCTATACTAATACATTTGCTGGTGATTCTAAGCGCCAGTAACAAAATAAATCTAGCTCAATTGCAAGGAGGTTTAGTTCTGATGTTATTCCCATACTTAATTACTTTAATTGGTAAACATTTATATAAGGGGTAACGAAAATACACAATAACAATGAGAACATTTGCATTAATCATTGAAATGTTTGCGGCCGTGATTCTGCATGGGTGCCAAAACCTAAACAGGTGGTTATCTTAGGTGCCATACACTGATCCTTTTGCCTGAAGATCTAATCTATAAGGCTGACAAGCAACGTTAGAAGCCGCAGTCTCAAGGTAGCCAGTGAACGACAGTATCTTCATACGCTATTTGTTCTTTCAACATTCTGGAGCCCATGTTCCGCATTGGTTTGAGATTAAGATTTTCTAACTCCTCTCGTTGATATCTCCATATCCATCAACCCGATTGAAACACCAGGCATTTGGTTTTCGTGTTCTCGATTTCGCAAACAACAG